TTTGAAGGCCTTAGATCTCAGTTACAATAACCTCTCAGGCCAAATCCCAATTAACTTGCTTCATTTTCCAAAGAGGTCTTTCATAGGAAATAAGGGATTATATGATCGCCATCTTAGGAACAAAATGTTGAGGCATGTTAAAATTATTCTTCCCAGCACCATTTCTGTTTTCTTGGTACTTTTGGATTTGTTGTCGCTTTCTAGAAGAATACATAGAGCTAAAAGTAGGGAAGCATATCCAAGTCCAACAAAAAATGGGGATATATTCTCAATATGGAACTTTGATGGAAGGATTGCATATGAAGATGTCATTGAAGCAACTGAGGATTTTGACATCAAATATTGCATTGGCACTGGTGGGTATGGTAGTGTTTATAGAGCACAATTGCCAAGTGGCCAAGTAGTTGCTTTAAAGAAACTACATCGAAGGGAAGCAGAAGAGCCAGCCTTTGATAAGAGTTTCAAAAATGAGGTTAAGATGTTGACAGAAATACGACATAGAAACATTGTGAAGCTTCATGGATTTTGCCTGCATAGGAGATGCATGTTTTTGATCTATGAATACATGGAAAGAGGAAGCTTGTTTTGTGTGCTTAGAAATGATGATGAAGTTGTGGATCTGGATTAGAACCTAAGAGTGAATGTCATAAAAAACATAGCACATGCTTTGTCTTACCTTCACCATGATTGCATCCCACCCATCATTCATCGAGACATATCAAGCAACAACATTTTATTGAACTCGAAACAGGAGGCTTTTGTTGCTGATTTTGGAAATTCTAGATTTTTGGATCTTGATTCATCCAATTACACTATACTTGCTGGCACCTATGGTTATATTGCCCCAGGTTTTCTCCATCACCATTCTTCTTCTATTATCTTATTTTGTTCTTTACTAATGAATTGACATGTTAAACATTATATTTTTTTTTTCCCTTTTTAGAGCTTGCCAATACAATTGCTGTGACTGAGAAGTGTGATGTTTATAGCCTTGGAGTTGTGGCATTAGAAGTATTGATGGGAAGACATCATGGGGAACTACTAACATCATTGTCATCATCACCATCTTCTTTGCAAAATGTGATGCTAGGTGACATATTAGATACACGTCTATCACCTCCAAGAAGCAGAAATCTTATGAAGAATATTTTGGTTGCTACTACACTTGCATTGGCTTGCTTGCGCAGAAAACCCAAGTCTAGGCCAACAATGAAATTTGTGTCTCAACAGTTTGTTGATTGCCAAACACCACTCGAGAAGCCTTTTCCATCTATTTCTCTATTGGAACTTGTGAATAGTGAATTGAAGATGGAAAATGAAATAGAATCTCTACCAAAACTTTCAAGTCATCCAGCCAAATATCATGATTCGTCCTTAAACGAAATCCTTGATGTATAATTTTGAGAATCAAATGGCTACCTTGTTTTGATGAGAGATTGTCAATAAAAACAACTTGTTCCTCCTTTAGTTAATAAATGGAGTATCCTACATGTAAGTGTAATACATATATATTACTCGTTATATAGTATATATACATTAATGAACCTCTAAGATCTCAAAAACTTTTGGCTAAATCCTCTACTTGCACCCATTATATTATTTATTTCTCTGGTCAATACCTTCAAATATTTATCCTTGGGTTAACACCCTGCAATTTTTAAAGCAAGTAAAAAACCCAAAATTTAACTGAGAAGTCACGTGACTCGCATGTCCCCATTCCCTCCGTTTCATTTTTGCTTACATGGTGTTTTTGATGAGGTGGCAACTGTTTATTCTCATGTGGCACTCTTTTGGGCTTTTCTTTAATGACATGGCTAGTGGGTTCCACCCAGAACTAAACAACTTTTTTATTTCATAATTACCTTTCATTTCACTTTAAATTTACAAGATTTACCCTTGTCTTCTTCTTTCTTATCTCTCTTCACTGCGCAAAATCCAGAGTCTAAAGTTTTAATTTCAAATAGCAATGAACAATTTCAACCTAAATTTGAAATTTACAAACTCAAATCACAGTCAATTGATGATAATTACAGATACCCATGAATAAACATAATCCCTGAGCCAGAGATCTCATCCCTACACTGTCGTTGCAACCCAAAATTCACTGTCTTCAATTCATCTTATCATTAAAATAAAAAGCAAGCTTTTTTTCATGTGACTCCTTCCATTGAATTGATTGAATGTCTAGATGATCAAACAAATTAAAAAAGCGATTGGGTCTCAGTCCTCCGATTCGAAGGAGTTA